CACATTTGGTCACTTTGGTAACAGGTACCAGTACCAGTCCTGTTGTACCCGACATCATGATGGGGATCTCAGTAGCAGTTTGTTAATTGCCTGCCCTCACATATTCAGCACTAGTGTGGCATTTACACGCATTGCACTTCTGTAGGTAAACAGAAATAACAGAGACATTATTGCTAACTAGAAGAATTTGGCTCAAGGTCATACAGCAAGCCAAACACAGAGGGAAATGGAAACGGGAATGCAGGTGCCCCTGTGTTTAGCTTACCTGGTCAGACAGGAAGACCACCACTGCTCCTGTCCTGTATGTTGTGGCACACAATCTGCTGTTTTGCTGTAGGTGAAATGTTTTTCCATGTCTGCGAGGAAGAAAAAGAAGATTGCAGGTTCTTGTGAAGGGTGCTGGGCTTCTGCCTTCTTCTTACCTTTCAGTCCCAGGTATATGCAAGGACATGCTGGTCCATCATTTAACAGTACCACTTGTCACTGCAAGCTACACAAAAGCATGCTGCCAGCAGCGTGTGCTGAGCATATCCTGAGCACAGCTTTGGAACAACTGGTTGCGTTCCAGCACCACATGAAAAGCAGCTCTCCTAGGAACATGCTATATTTTTCTCAACCTTTGCCAAGTCCCCACCAACCACTTTTCTAATGTTAAATGTCTATTTTTCTTTCAAGGGAAACATTAAAATTTCACTTCCAAGTAGACTATTTTACAATTAGAAAATACAAGCTCTCTTTTCCAATTTGGGAAAATTTCTTTTGCAGACCGCTGCTGCTTTGACACAAATATATTGTTGTTACACTAAATCAAAACCAAGTGAAGATGGTGATGCAGCTCCAGCAAGAATTTTGCAGCTGCAGGGCAGCCAATCAATACTGCATTTCGCCTCAAATGGGATTACCATTCATCTCAAAGAACAATAAAATTTGACCGGTTTATTGATTGAACCTGTACCTATGGCAACTTGCTGAAACCTCAGCAAATGTAAATATCTACCAGCTCATTCAACAAGGGTCTCAAAAATGACATGAGTAAAATTCCATTTCTGATTACCTTGCCTCCTCTCTTTGTGCTGAACTAGGAAGGGCTACAGGAAAAAAAAAACCAAACCCAAATAAAAAGCAAAGTGTGAGAATGTGCCATTTGCAGCATTCCCTTTATCTCCCAGCAAGTGTCTGTCATAGCAGAACAGTGTATTTTAAAGAACCTAAACATTCAGGCTGGCGGTCTATTGAGCATGCAGTGTATCAGAAGATTCATGTGGACAATTCAACCATCTCCCTTTAAAAGAAAGATGTAATACATAAAATCTCCTATATCTCTTGTTCATAGGCTCTCCCTCAACTGATGGAATAAACAGCCCCTTCTCCCTCCATTTGTATGGAGCACAGACTTTGTAATAATGATACTCCACACTGAAGAAAGCGAACACAGACATGCCAAAGGTGTAATTTTGCTAGTGACTATTAAAGTACATTAACATAAATCATTGCACATAAATGCCTGATGATTTCCTGAAAGAAATACAACACAGACTAGTATAACACAAGCTCAAATGATTTATCAGTAAAACTCATTGGCTGCTTCACATCAATGGAAATAAGCATTAAGGTTTCTCCTGGCTCATGTGTGCCACAGTCTGGTGGCAATGCAGATTAAGGCTGGGTGTAGTACTGGTGTTCAGAACGTAATTGATAGTTGCACACTGCCCTTCCATTTAGAGGGCTCAGCTGCACATTTCACTAGTCTCTTGAAACTTATCTTCCTATTACACTAAATCTATGTTGGACACAAAGGAAGCAGGCAGAACATAACCAACATCACTCCATGCTCATGACTTGATTGTAGCTTGATTCTGCATTTGTAAGAACTCCTGACACTAGGGCTCACCATCTCCTCTTGCTGTGAATTAGAAGATCTGTAAAGCAATTCTGAACCATGATGCAGTACAAGTAATATTTAATTAGGACCTGTGTTAGCCATGAAATTGCTAAGTAGGTAACCAGAAAATAAACCCAGAATTATTTCATCAAGTGAAGAAACAATAGTGTCTATGAAGTAATGAATGAGTCCAAGCACACCTTCCCTAACTTCCAGAGCATGAAGCTGGCTTGTCTCCCATGAGGTCAGAGATGCCATCCCATAGACGGCCTTCTATCATCAGGACCAGAAGTGACTGGAGGAAAGCCAAGGTTAAAAGGAGACCAACAGAAATAAAACAGCAGCAGGAGAGCTGAAAGAAGATTGGCACATTTTAAAGCAGGCAGACTGATTATGCAAGAAACCACACAGCCTTGGCAATAGCTAAAGGTCACCCCCACTGCATGCTGATGTGCCCCAGGGGGTACTGCAGGGTTGGAGAGCAGATAAAACATCAGTGCCTTCAGGATATGTGTTAAGGTGAAAGAAAACAGGATGTTCAGCCAGGAAGAGTAAGCTAAGAATATGCTTTCTGAAGGCAGGTGTGAAAAAAATAAAGATGGAAGCAGACAAATGAATGGGAAGTAAGAGGTCACTAAGCATTCATATTAAAACACCACAGGCAACAGATCTTCAATCCTCCTCATTAAGCCACTGAAAGAATGAAGTAGGAAGCCTTGGCCTTCTGCATTTTAGCTGGCAAGTCATTTACCCTACAGAAAACCTCTCTTTAAACACATGCAGAAGCCATTTTTTCCCCTTTTAAACAGAAACTGACACTGACATCAGAGCCAGTGGTCGCACAATCATCCTGAGGCTATGCAAGTCAGCAGCATCCTAGAATGACATTGATTTGAATTAACTATCAGATTCTATATAGCTGTTAAACTTGGCAAGTCCTTCTGTAGACATGACGTTCAAGCCTGGATTAGGGACAAGTCTGCAATGTAAAATGTGACTATACTGCTAACTTTTTAAGCACAGAGCTATACATAGAAAACAAACCCATGAGTGACAGTGAAACAGGAAGTGGCAGTATGAAGTATACAAGCCCTGTGCCCTGCATAAAGCCTGCACCAGAACAGCAGAGAAAGATCCAGTTCACAGGGGACTCAGTAGCAACAGCCATAAACATGAATGAAAATAATCTAGAGGTAGCTCTGACACAAAGATGTAGGTATTGATGAAAATAGGGGCACTGTAACTATGTAGAATTATTTATCTTGTTTCTGTGTTGAAAAATCATCTTGACATCTTTACTGAGTTATTTGTCACCGAAATCCTCATTAAAAGGAAAGTCGCAGAAATTCCATGTTACTGCAGCTGAGGATACTGCAGTTAGCTCCAGTGAAGATCTGGGTATGAAACTACCCTTCATCACTGAACCTCCTAACTTAAGTTTATCATTCTATATCACCCCAGAGCACACCCAGCAGTTTCAGTATCAACTGCTCTAATACTGAGGCTGACACAGGGAGCATGCCATGGAAATACAGGAGCTCAATTTTAAGTTGGCTAAAATAAAGTTTATTTTACTGTTACAATATATAATCTTTTATCAACACAACTCACAAAGTGTTTACAAAATAACCTCGTTTTTTGCTGCATTTTAAACACTACTTTTATACAAACTTCAAAAGTAAAATAGGAATTTGTAGCTACAAATGTTTTTGTTATTTTAGAAGCATTACAATAATTACTGCAAATAAGACTTTTTTTGTTATGGTGTCACCTTCACAGATGAAACAGAACATTTATTATAAAGACCTGAGGAAGGATTCATGAAAGCCTTCTTTAGACAAAGGATGCCAGTTCTCTTAGTCTGGCAGCAAGCAAGTGCATTTGAGCTAACCTGGGTGCTCCAAAACACCTGACAAAGGAATCTCCCCCCTTTCCCAAGACTGACTATAGGGAGGGGGCCTAGTGCATAATGGCAGCTTTCATGAATCCCCACACTGATGACCTCGTATGCAGCAAGACTGTTAAGACACAAAACTCTGGTCCTTAGTGCTATGCAAGAAACCATGGAAACAGAAAAAAATTGAAATATTACAGTTGCCACAAAACCTAGTATTTTAATATGTTAAAATTAAAGTTCCCTAATGCCCTCTGTGACTCTGGTAGTAACAGGCTTGTATTACATTACTTCACCCTGGTGTCCACTACAACACACTAACACACATTTAAAAAAGTGTAAAAGGCTACCATTGCCATGGCTGCTAGAAAACTATGTGCTAAAGGATTTATGCTCCTGCTAGTCAAGTCAGTTGATGGATCTTACATGACAGCAGAATGAGGCTGACAGTGATTATTCTACATACAGCAAGCAGATAGAAAGAGGTGCTACCTGTTTTCTTTTTCATGCATAGTTTAACCAGCTCACAGCCAGCTCATCTCCATTAATACTAGAGATGCATGAGCCACCATTTGGTATAAGCCAAACTACCAGCAAATATATTTCCAGTGCAAAAAAAATTGTCTTTCTTCAAGAAAAACAACTAAATTTAATGCTACTTCTCAAAAACCAATGCTTATGATGCATCATTTTCTACCTATTTTGGTCTGCATTTCTAAAGATCCCTTCCTCTCCCCAAATCATATCTGAAGACAGATGATCACAGTACACTTTATTTTTTTTTAGGCAAACGACTGTCTCCTCCCCAAAATAACTTATACTGCCCACTGAAGATCATCCCTGAGAGCGCTGTTCTAGCTAGACACTTAGAAAACAAGCAATATCTAATAGTTTAGAGGGAAAAAAAAGGCTGTTCACCCCATGAGATTTTGTAGTTTTAGGAAGTAAAAAAATGCAGCTACTCTGAGCATTTCAATTCCCTGAGCCGAGTGAAATTTGAAGACAGTAATTTGTAACACAGAGCGTAGCAACATCTATAGCTGTACTTACAGAAGCTGGTTTTTGACAATGGTAAAGCCAGACATTACATTACGAGCATACAGCAGTACGTGGTAGTTCTTTGCTTCCTGTAACAGGAAATATGATGGCCTTCTTTGGTAAGAAACAGCAGTGAAGAAGCTTGATGACTTCGGATTCTTTTGCCTTTTGATACTCTACCAATCTTTAAGTTACAGTCATTGGAGATACCACCAGGCCATAGTGCAGAACAAGTAAACCATCCTAGAGAGAAGAGAAAGAAACTATCACCACACCACCTTCTTCATGAAGCATTTCTGCCACCGCCTGGTATGACAGTCACTGCATGGTAGAACCTCAGCTTTCATCTCCCTCACCGTTTTATACTGTGCCCCTCCATACAGTGAATGAAAGTTTTGAAATATCAAGACAAATAATTATATTCCCCCCTGCTCTTTGAGCTAGAGAAAGGTGTCAAAAAAGTAGTAAAAACTGGTACTTTGCTTTTATTTTAAAATTATAATGAAATTATCTCATCTTCATCCAATAGGCTTTCGTTTACAACTCATGTTGCTTTCCAACAGAAAAACAAGTAAGCAATTAAGTACTTTTAGAAGATGCTGTCAAAAGCTGTACTGGAAGAGCCCAGACTGCTACTATACATTAAGTCATGTTTTATCTCTTCTCAGACTGCTCCACAATAAAAACAACTTCACCTGTGAAACAGGACACTTCCTGACTCATTAGTCTTACTTATGTCACTTAATTCCCACACAGCTGGTGAAAGGTCTAGCACTCACAGTCTGCTTCCACCACTGATCCACTAGGAATCTGACTTGTTTAAATGACCTCTTTATAAGGACAGGCTTTAACAGAAGTTTTCTTTTGAAGAGAGAAATACATTAATCACAATGTTAGACCTTTCTGCCATAGATGTTTCTATCTATTAACATACAGTATTTAAGATAATGTATGTTCCAGAGAAGTTATACACTTCTGGGGGGGATATACCAGTACATTAAAAGAAATTAAATCTTAAAAAGTTAATTATAAAAGCAATAGTAAGACTCTCGCCATTTTACAGGTTCTGTATTATAATATAGTAACAGTAGAAAGTACCATATTGGTCTAAACACAGTGTTCTGGAAGAATATATGTATTTTTAAACAATAATTTGTTATCTATGTAAAAATGCTTCTGACTGGTTGGTGTAGCCTCAACTACTCAAGCTACTCATGGGGAAAAAAAAAAAAAGAAATCTCTAAGCCATTTTGCATTGAAGCAAATTTAAGATCAAGAAATTGATCACAAAAAGAATGTGCTTTTTCATGTCTCCATGAGATGCTCTTTTTCTTCCCTTGGGAATTCTTTTCAGACAGTGCCTATCAACACTTCTAGGTTCTGTCTGGAAAACGACCTCTGCTTTGAAAAACAGCCTTGTTTTGCCTCCAGTGCCACAAGGCTTGCTCAGCAGAAAACCACCCTAATTGCTGTTGTCTATAAATATTTTACTCTCTCTTCTACCATTAGTTCCTTTAGCTTTGTCTGGCAGCTGAATGTTGGAAACACCGGAAACAAAGCTACTGCTCTGAGGGGGGTGGGAAATGTGCAATATGTTATTTTCATGGGAAAAAGAAAGTGAAAGAGCTACTGGAGTTTTCAGATGTGATGGTGAAAGAAAACAGATTCATAGCAAAGGAGAACATATGATTAGACACACTCTGGTCAGATCTGCTGTTATCTTAACCCTTCGAGCCCCATGTTGGGCACCACAAGAAACTGTCATGGTTTAAGCCCAGCTGGTAACTCGGAACCACGCAGCCGCTTGCTCGCTCCCCCCTCTTCTTCCTCCCCCCGATCCCGGAGGGATGAGGAAGAGAATCGGAGGAATGTAACTCCCATGGGTTGAGATAAGAGCACTCCAGTAACTAAAGTATAATACAAACCACTACTGGTACCACCAATAATAATAATGATAAGGGAAATAACAAGGGGAAAGGACACAACTGCTCACCACCCACTGACTGATACCCGGCCTGACCCGAGCAGCGATCTGGGCCTTCCGGGTGACTCCCTCAAGTTTATATACTGGGCATGACGTGCTGTGGTATGGAATAGCCCTTTGGCCAGTTTGGGTCAGGTGTCCTGTCTCTGCTTCCTCCCAGCTTCCCCTCCTCCCTGGCAGAGCATGAGACTGAGAAAGTCCTTGGTCGGAGTAAACACTACTTAGCAACAACTAAAACCATCGTCCCAGTAGAGAAATCAAAAAACTGCCTGACTCACCAGACACTAAGAAGGAGAAAAAATGACTGCTGTAGCTGAACCCAGGACAATCTGCAACAGCAATACTTTGATCAATTTAGCCAACATCTTCACTTAGTAAAACCTGAAACTCTGCTTCTGGCTACTGATTTTTTTCATTTAGTTGAAGAGGAGATTAATATTCCAAGTCAAAAAAAGAGGGCACCAAAAAATGAACCAATTGAAAAACCTTTAAAAAGGTTTAAACCTTTAAAAACCTTTAAAAACCTTTTTTATTAAAAATATAAGGTCCTAAGAACGGCTGTACAGGTTCAGATCAAAGCGCTTCCTAGCCCCATGGTGAAAATCTAGATAAAAATACATGGAAAGGGCAAGTATGTCACCTCCCTATAAAATTTTCCATTTTCAAAGTCTTTCTCAGGAAGTTCCTGAGCCCTATGTCAACGTTGCTTTGTATCAAAGTGCCTTCTGATTACTTCTCTCCTGTGAACTTGGTCTGTTGCTTTTGAACCTACAAACTTCTGGCACCCAAAAGTCAAATCTAAGGGCAATCAAATCCAAATCACTGGACATGGTGATGTCACACATAAGATCAAGACCAAAGATCTGAAAAAGCGATTAAAATGGAGGCCCTAAGAAAACTGGATCAAAGTATTATTTTATAAGAACCATTAATACCAACCCCAAGGGTCACGTTGGAAGGGAGTGCACATTAGAACACTTATAGAAGAGACAATGTTCAAGCTACAGCAAATACACTTGTTCCCTAACTCTACAGCTACAGGTGATACAAACAGCTTCAGAGCAACAGCAAATGTGCTCCATGAGTCTCATGCAGCTTCCCTTTCATTTAAAGGATGCTTACAATGACAAACGAGGGCCTAGTGTAGAATAGGTGCCAACCAACCCTAACTTCAATAGGCAGGTATGAAAAAAAACCTACTTTATTCCTGTGTTGTTATATTAGTGCCAGCTTGCTAACTCTCTTTCATCTTCTCATATTGTTAATAACCAGAAATCCATTGCTAACTCCTAAACGGATACAAGAGGAGACAGAAGCTTTAACTCACTTAGTGCGTAGCATAAAGTGAGAAGACTGAGTTGCACTATGAAGAAGTGTCCTCACTTCTTGTTAGGTAGAACAGGTACTGTGAAGTTACTTACGGACCTCTTGACACACAGTATACTGTTACACCTTCACAAAGGTACACTTACTCCCTGTGCTTGTGAGCTACTTCAACTGAAAAAAACCCACACATTCAAGCTTCCTTTTTTCGAGAATTGTAATCAAAACAAGTTTTTTCTCTATAGCAGAGTTTCTTAAAGGAAAGAAATATTAATAAAAGAAGAAAATGCAACAACGTATTCTTTGATGAATGAATTTTCAGACGTCCTATTTGACAGTAGGACTTTCGAAGAAATTATCTATCTACACAGGAAATACCCCTGTTAAACCAAAGACCAAACCCACTGCAATGCCTCTGTGCAAAGAGAAGTTGAGAGTTAAGCCATTACTGGCACTGCTTACTCTGAAATTATCCGTTTTTTAAGCACTACGCATTTCTACAGTTGCTTTCTCTAGATACTGTTCTTAAAAGGAAATCCAGAGAACAAGCTTTTACTGCTTATTACAAATCTCATATCAGGCCAACTCAGACATGACCCCCCAAAAAAGCGAAACTCTCCAGTGTTCTTTGCCACACATTTGTGAACCTGACCTAAAAAAAATTGTACTGTTACACACAACCATAAACTTTAGATTGGAACTGACAGACCAAATCATATACCAAAATATAACACCTTTTGATGTTATAAAGCAGTAGAAACCAGAAGTGCCCCGGTTTCCAAATTCAATATCCCCACTGCAAAGAGTAAACCACTTCCACAGCAGATGTGTGCTAGAAGGTCAAAGTAATTAACTTAGATCACAGCTTTTACTGCCTAGCTCAGGAGAACAAAAAAATGCAGTACACTGGGCTACAAAAAGGTGAGAGTTACAAAGAGACCATTATAATTTGCAAGACCTCTGTGCCAAGGACATAAAGGCAGCTACTACTCTTCTTAGCTTTTCCCATGTGTGAACTTACTACATCCATTAGTGACACACTGCTCTGAGAAGGCTAGATTCAGACGAGTGAAAATAACTAGCAGCTTGGATCACACTGCATTTGTGCAGCAAAGGGGAGGAAGGTAATACAGAAGGGAAGAAATTATATTCCCATGTAGTTAACAACAAGCTTCCTTCCTCAGCTACTTGATAAAACTCTTAATTACAGGCAGATCTCGAAGTTTGGTTACAAAATTGAGCCTTTAAAAGATTTCTTTCAGTGTCTTTCATCTCTCTTTGCAGCAAATTGCACAAGTTTTACACTGTTTTAGAAATTATATATAAAAAAGCCACTTTGCTTAAATTCTGTGCAGCATACTTTTTATGTTTCAGCTCTAAACAGAGCTAGAGATCCTATTTCCAGCTAATTAGAAAGATTCAACCAACCACCCAATTTCAGAAGTGTTAAAATATCTTCAGATCTACAGGATTAAACAAGATTTATTGCTGATTTTTTTTTTAGGCTTTGATCTACTACTTGGAAACTACCATGTTAATTGTTTCCATTCCAGTCGTAAAATTTCTTGCCTATTTACTCCAACTAAAACAAGCTGAACAGGTTATGATGGGGCCAATATCAGGAATATTTATTCTAACATCAAATCACATTTGCTCTTCCCACACTTGTTGGAAAGGCACATAGTAACTCAGAACAGCTAAAATACTGCTAGCTTATAACTACAGAAGACAAATTTACTGAAGCTCTAAGGCATTACTACACATTGTTACTCAGTGGGAAGTAAAATGTCCCAAAACCCACGCAAAATCTTCATAAGACAATCTTGAGCATTTAAGAACCATTCAGGAGGAATAAAAGCCCCTAAAAAAATCACAATGATTATGGTCCTGAAAAATAAATCTCACACCATGTATATTACGCTGCATTGCATTGGAAGAAACTTCCAATGTAAATGCTGCCAAAGAATGCATGTTAATGTCTTCGACAAAGAGAAATTTACCTGCATTTTTTTATCACTTTTCTCAGCAAAAAGAATAACTGCTGTCATCAATGAACTTGCAAGTAAAAAACGTGACTCAGAAGAGTGGTTATTTTCCTCCTCCAGCAGTGACTGTACTTATCTATATTAAAACCCCCATTCTTTAGATGATTTCTATTGCATAAGTAGCTGCTGAAGCTATTTTCTTAGCATGAAGCACCTACAATGACCCTCAGAAACTGGTAAATGACAACGGCAGTTTTGAACAGCGTTTCAGCATCCTGATGACAGCTGCTAGGGGCAGCCAAACTCCAGCACTGGTTTGGAAAGGCTGGAAGGTTATGATGGCACAAGATGCCCTTGGAGCTCCATGTAAAACCCATCAAGTACTCTTCTGTAGCTGTAGTTACACTGGGCAAGGACAATCATGCCCCTCACTGAATTTCAGGTCTTGGTGAAAAAGAAATAATCCTTACCATTTGTAGATTTGACCTATCTTTTTTCTCCTGGATAATTGTCTAAAAACATATTCCAAGGTTTTTTAATCCTGGAAATGCATCCTCTTGATTTCTCTGATAAATAATGCAATGCAAGACTATAAACCATGAAAATTTCACAATTACTTTGGTATCAAGAAGCAACTGTGCTTTATTTCTAACATTCCTACTGTAACTATTTGGCATCCTAAGTGGTTTTGGAACAAAATGAAGAAAAATTAAGGGTGAAATTGATCTTTCAAATTTCCTTGCTAAAGTGACTATGAAAGCACAAGACTTCATAAAAAACAAAAATCTTTTCTTTGCCCAATACAGCAGGCTTGCAAGAATTCATCACTAGCATGCTGATTTTGTAATAATGAGATTTGAAACATTACTGGAGAACATATCCCAAGACAACTGTTCTCTTTGTGGAGCTGCTGACTGGTACTTAGCCACTAAACATCAGTCAGGCAGACCCAATTCTGACAAGAAATGAAAGACACTAAACTTTAGCTAGGCAGATCATGTCAGAAATGAAACTGATGCAGTTTTCCTTCAAGTGCTTCCCTAAGATCATTTCTCATACAGGAAAAGCTTTTGTGCTAAGATGAAGTTTAAAAGCATGTACATTTGACAATACCCCCCGTCTGAGAAATAAATCACCCCCTGCCATTTATTGAAGCTTTCAGTAAAGGACACTTCCATTACTGTGTGTTGATGCTGTATTTACTTAAAATTAACTCATTATGTTAGGAGCAAGTCCGTTACCAGTGCTGGCTTCCCCCCAGTTTCTACCACCTGTTCCCCAAAGCGGGTTAGGTTACACTTTCTTTTATTTCTTCATATCATTATACAAAGAGCTAAACCATCAAGTATGGCATTTATTCCCTTTGACTGCAGAAACTGAGGTACACACCACAAGCCTCAAAAATTTTTAATGTGTGCCAGCACTAGCATGAGCCACATTTCTCTGCCCTGACTGAAGGACCTCTCCTTGTTACCCAAAATCAAGTACAGGTGAAGCAGTGTCCAAGATACCTCAAAATCAACTTTCCACTTGACACAGAAATCCTCTTGTGGGGGCTTGAAAGGGTGTCCTGGGTTCAGCTACAGCAGTCATTTTTTCTCCTTCTTAGTAGCTGGTGCAGTGCTGTGTTTTTGACTTTCAGTCTGGGAACAACGCTGATAACACCGATGTTTTTAGTTGTTGCTAAGTAATGTTTACTCTGACCAAGGACTTTCTCAGTCTCATGCTTTGCCAGAGAGGAGGGGAAGCCAGGAGGAAGCAGAGGCAGGACACCTGACCCAAACTGGCCAAAGGGGTATTCCATACCACAGCACGTCATGCCCAGTATATAAACTGGGGAGAGTTACCCGGAAGGCCCAGATCGCTGCTCGGGTCGGGCTGGGTATCGGTCGGCGGGTGGTGAGCGGTTGTGTCCTTTTCCCTTGTTATTCCTCTTATCATTATTACTGGTAGCAGTAGTGGTTTGTATTATACCTTAGTTACTGGAGAGCTGTTATCTCAACTCGTGGGAGTTACATTCCTTCGATTCTCCTCCCCATCCCTCCGGGAGCGGGGGGAGGAAGGAAAAGGGGGGGGAGTGAGCGAGCGGCTGCATGGTTCCAAGTTGCCGGCTGGGCTTGAACCACGACAGTAAAAAACATGTAAAATATTGTGTATATGTGTGCACAAATAAGAGAACTGAATTTGCTATTTTAGCCCTTCTGCCATCTGCTTAGATTACTTTCCAAATAAAATACCTATCTAAATCCTATTTCTTCCTACTGTATTGGATTAAACATTAACTTTTCAGATATCCAAGTTTAAATTAACATACAGCTTACCATTCCTCATGATTTTACATCTATATCTTACTATGCACTGAGCAACCACTTCATTGCTTTTGCTGCACTTCTAAAACGGTATGACCTTTCCCATTATAAAGATGCTTAAAAAATTCCCCAAGGAAGTAAGAAAATGTTTTCTTACTTGCAGAGTCAGCAGTACTTAAGACAGTAAGCTATCAACAAGAAATAGCTGTCTATACACTCATGCTGTGAGCAGGACTGGTATAATATGCACCAAGTGAATTAATTGCATTCACTACTCTCAATATTTGGTTTGTGTTTTTATAAGCAAGTATTCCCCTGACCCAGTCACAAGGCTGGCCTTATTTGGGATGCTTCAGTCCTTCCATTTCTTGCAGAGATGCAATCGCCAGGGAGGAAGACAAAGGAATGTTAATTGAAAGAAAGGCTGGTATGATTTATCACTTATAAGAGAACAACTTGTTTCAGAATAGAAAAAAACCCACTGCAAACCCCTCATATCCAGATCATCATCAAACCACCAAGAACACTCTTAGCACATGGTGTATTTCTCAACTCCACTTGCAATATAAAAAACATTTTGTGTAAGCTGGAAAGATTTTTCTACACAACTTCTTCAGACAAGTTGCTGCTACCTGAGAGCTGAAGGAAGAAAGTCTTTTATTTTAAAATAGAAAACCTGGAACAAAGCCCCAGCTGCCACATGTACCTGTACTGCACTCTCTCCTATGGCTTGACGAATTTCCCTCAGAGTCTGGTAGTGTTCTAGCAGGTGATCACCACATATTATGTCCACCTGTGAAAGAATATAAACATCATCAAGTTCAACCTACCTTTGGACAAGTGAAACAGTATCTAAGCCCTTTAAAATGGATCATAGAAGTTCAATTCTAGCATGTTAGACAATAAAATCATCTTTACCTTTGTTGGCCAAATGTATTTAGCATGCACAGCACTGTTGTACTGCCCTAATGCTTCCCACCCCATGCCCCTGACCTGGGGCTCACTTCTGGAACAGTTTTATTGTTTCACTTCCAGTTTGGTGTCTCTGCTGAAAAAAGTTCTCTAGTAATAGCTGTGACAAATGTAACGTGAATTTAGCGCATGTATTAAAATGATCCCACAAACATCCAGAGTCATTCATTAGCTGCAAAAGAGGGCACATTGTTTGTGCTGCTGACAATGAGCCATTGCTACCCTCATTCTTACCTTGAGTGAGAAAACACAGGAATAAGCCTGCTTCATATGACTGTTTGAAGAAGTGTTTTAATAGAAAAGAACAGCTCACTGTATGCCACTGTCAGCAACCACATCCCACAGTCCTCCTTCGAAGAGCAACCAATACCTCTGTGATGCAAGCGAAGCGCATACTCAGCAATTCTAAGCAATGTCCTCTAATGCAGCTAAACTATACCAATGAGGTCTGCAGTTCCACAGGAGGCACTTTTGTTAAGTAACTGCCCACAAAACCAGTAATACATATATATTTTAAACTAAAAATCCTAGTGAGGTATTTTGAATTCCTTACCTTGACTACTACGAAAAATAAACCTTTTTATGAAATTACTATCGATTTACTTTGCATAATGTAAATCCAGTCTCTAACATTCCAAACTAGAGCAGCTAACAGCACTATTTCTCTCTCAACTGCAGCTTGGTTACATTTTGCTTATAAGCAATTTCTAGATACGGAAATGAGAGCTGTCACCTGTGATTTACAATGACAAGACCTCAAAGTTAAAATTAAGAGCAGTGACAATGAGCTGTCCTGCAGCTTTCTGCAAGGAAAACATCTAAGCTCTGCCACTGCTGCAGTGGGGGAGCATACTGCAATGTCATTACGTATTCTCTTCCACAGCCACTTTCGCTACAGGATGCACTTTGCACTTAAGCTGTTCAATTCCCCTGGATTTATTTATGCTCTTTTGCGTCCTGACCCACTCTCTCTGTCTTGGTCTTCATTAAAAGATTTGGGAAGATTTATGTCTCATGCTGGCAGGCTGCACTGTTCTGAGAATCAGGAACACAGGAATTCTGCTCCATAGAGACTCAGAAAGGGTTAATTTACCTCACCATCTGTATAGTTTGAGAATGATGTAGAATACTCTGTTCTAGGTTGAATCTTAATGTGTAGAAGACAAACTGCTCAGCAATACCTCTGCTTTCAGCTTCTAGGATGAAACCAGCAAATAAAAACTAATCTGGAAATAACATTAATATTGATTAGCTATTGATCCATATACACACACACGTATACATTTTACAACAACATTTGATGTATTTAACACAGAACCGGAAAGAAATATATTTTTTCTTTTTGAAAGCTGGTTACAGTTATTTCTGATGTTTCCCATGTATTCTAGCTTCTACAGTTATTACTGCAGGAAGACAGACATGTCTGCTTTGCTTTTCAGAGATACATGAGTTTAATTACTTTTGTTTTATAGGCTTACTTTTATAATTTTTATATCATTAAGGCACTGAAAACTCAACCCTGCTCCCACTGAAAATACGTAGATATTTTATATATTCCACAGAAACAGAAAATCTAATCTATTTGCCCAATACACGAC